TATGCAAATTTGGTTGTGAAACGGTTAACTGGGGAAAGGCGACTGCTCAACTGTGCTGGGAAGGTGGCTCAGTGGATAAAATCCTTGCCAGATAGGACTGAGGACCTGACTTCAAATTTCAGAACCCAGGTAAAGCCAGATGACCATCTGTCATCACAGGCGAGGGAGAGGCCGCTGAATGCCCCGGAGTTCCCAGGCCCGCCACACTGAGAAATGGATAAAGACACTGTTCTATTCATATACAATGGGATGCTAATGAGAAAAATATAAAGAATCGAGTACTGATTGGTGCTGCGCTGTCAACAGATGTTCAAAATATGCCTGAAAGAAGCGAGCCAGATGTAGCGCTCACGTCTTGTATGATTCTATTTCTGTAAAATGTTGCATTAAATTAAGAGAGAAAGGGAAATCAGTTTTGCCAGGGGTGGGGAAAGGGCTTGGGAGGTGAGAGGAGAAGGGTGGGGATTGGGTGGGGTAGTGTCTGTTTGGAGTGAGGAAAATGTTTTGCAACTAGGTGTGTTGGCTCCACAACAGTGTGAGTGTACAGCATACCATAGACTCATTTGCTTTAATTTTCTCATTTTTACTTATTTTTAAATAGATTTATTTATTTATTTAATGTATATGAGTGCTCTATCTGCATCTACAACCTTTTGCCAGAGAGGGCATCAGATCCCACAATAGATGGCTGGGAGCCACCATGTGGTTGCTGGGAATTGAAGTCAGGACCTATGGAGGAGCAGCCAGTGCTCTTAACCTCTGTGCCATCTCTCCAGCCCCGTCATTATTACTTTAGAAAAAAACTAAATGATTTACAGTTGCTATAGCTTGTACAAAAGTCTTAAGGAAGATGGAGGAAAGAAACTTGCTAAGATAAAACTCCTAGGATCCCAGTAGGGCATGTTTCTGACCTGATTATCAATAGTACACTGACTGTATCCACCAGTGTATCCAGACCAGCAGATTGTGGGAAATGCAAGCACGTCAGGACTAGTGTGGTATGGGGATGAGATTATAGTCTGTATAGAATGTCCACATTAAAATGGCTAATTTTGTATTGTGGAGATTCCACATCATTTTAAATGGCTATACCATTTAAAGGAAAAAAGTGCTGGGGGGCGGGGGGGATGGGGTGGTATCTTCTAGGTCATTTAGATTTTGCTAAGAAATAAGAGGTGGTGCTTTGAGCATTCTTGCGCCCTCTGCTGGCATTGTAAAATAACTCACTTTCCTTTAACTGCTTCCTTTGAGAAATGGTCCAGAATGAATACCCCTTGGGGTTTTTTTGAGCAGGTCCTCATGTGGTCCCATACCTACCACGAGTCATCACATCACACCTGCTCCTTTATAGCTTGGGTAGAGAAGCCTTGGGGGGTGTAGTAGAGTGGGACAGAGCTGTGGCCCAAGGAAGAAGTTCTTTTTGTTTCTAGCAACTCCAAGGCACACTCTGCATTTCTTGTGCCTTGCGATTATTATTGGAGTCCCTTGTGCCAAATTTAATGAGCAAAATAAGTCTGCCTGCATAATAGGATGTTAATATAGGTCTCAAGACTGGACTTACACTCACGTGACCTCATCCTCATGTGACGTTTACCGTGTTCTGTAGTGGAGATAGACCTAAACACCCCTGAGATGTTTTCATTTCATTGTGCACTGACTGTCTAGGTACAGGGAGACTTTCCAGCAGCAGAAGGTGTCCTTGAGGAACTGAGAAAGTAATAGAGTGTATTGTTGTTGGAAAAGAGTCAAGCAAATGTCAGACCCAGCTGTAGTTTAATGTGAAGATACACTAATGAATCCAGGCACTCTGGAGGTAGAGACAATGGGTCTCTGTGAGTTCAAGACCAGCCTGAGATACATAGTGAGACCCTGTCTCAAACAAGCAAGCAAGCGAGCAAACAAAAGTTTCCGTAACTACTTCCACACTGATTTGACCAAATAAAGAACTCAACTTTATTAGAAACAACTTAATGGAAGAAGGAGTGATTGGGGCTGGAAGTGTCAGACACTGAGGTCCATCTCATCAGGGAAGGCACGGTGGAGCAGAGCATGTCACATCATGGGGACACAGAAGGGAAAGAAGCCTTTCCCTTCTGGGATCTGGAATCTGCTTTGCCTTCTCGCTGACTGTGAGTCAAGAATCTTCAACACAACAGCTAATCGCCTGTTTATGCTCTTTTCCATAGGACACCTCAAACATTGATGTTGCAACAACAAATATACTTTTTAAAAGCCAGAATGCTTGTGACCTTGTGGCTTGGCACTCCTGCTTTATCCCTAAATCAAAACAGTGTGCCTTGTGAAACCACCCTACAGTTTCATTTACAAAAGATTCTCTGAGATAAGGAAAATAAACCAGCTCCTTGAATTTTAACTTTTGAACCACATTTAAAAATGCAAGCCTCGTGGCTGGAGAGATAGCTAGCTCAGAGGTTAACAGCACTGACTGCTCTTCCAGAGGTCCTGAGTTCAATTCCCAGCAACCACATGGTGGCTCACAACCATCCATATGAGATCTGGTGCCCTCTTCTGGCCTGCAGGCATACACACAGACAGAATATTGTATACATAATAAAAAAGAATCTTAAAAAAAAACACGATAATTCCATTTAAAAAAACAATGCAAGCCTCACTTGGTCTTCAAGCGTTGTTGTAAATTATATCCTTTGAGGAATGTAATTTAGAAAGGCACTGCATCATCTAAGGGAAGACACTCAGGCCAGAATCTGTGTATCTTCCTGTGGTCTCTGTTACCCTCTCTTGCTCTGCTCCTTTTCTTAGTCAGTCCCTTTATCTTCTCAACTAGTCTCCTACCTTCAAGTTTTGCTACCTAGCAAGTTTTGCTTGCATGTCGGTGTGCATTTGTGCAGTATCTAGAGAGGCCAGAAGAGGGCACAAGACTCCCTGGGACTGAAATAAAGACAGCATGAGCTGCTGTATGGGTTCTGAGAATGGAACCTAATTCCTCTGGAAGAGCAGTGGTGTTCTCAACCAATCACTTAAGCCATCTTTCCAGTCCCCCCTTATTTCCATGTCTTTTAGCTTAATTTTTATTTTTATATAGCCAACAAATTTCCCTAGAATTACATGACCATGGTAACAGGTTTGTTTACAGAAGTGTGGACGCTTTACCAATGGCTAAGCCAAGAAACAGACAGAGAGAAGGAGGAAGGGGGGAAGGAAGGCAAGCTATCACTCTCTGTCTCTCATGAGCCCCACTCCTAGGCATGACATGATGGTGACAGGCCCCATTTTGGATAGGTCTTGTGCAGTTAATCGCGACTGCTGTAAGTTTAAGAGTACAAAGACCATACCATGCCCGGAAGGCAGTGTTCTGTTCCATCTTGGCCTTCTCTCGGGCCCTTACCTTCTTCCTGCTGCTCTTCCATGCTAGTCCCCAAGCTTTGGAAAAGCTGCTGTGGACGCATTCAGGCACATATTCTCAGTCCTTAGACAAACAGGGTCTCTGACGATACTGCTGACCACTACAAACAGAACCTTCCCTGACCAAAGCTGAGCAAAAACATAGCTGTTCAGAAGGTAATTTGATGGGCACGTTATATCCATTTAGGAAAACAACAATAGTCACTTCCTTACTAAGGCCTATGAACTCCACAGCTACAGGCTTTAAAAATAATTTAAAAATTACTATCATTATTTGCATGTGTATGATATGTGTGTGTGTGGGGTGCACATGCAGGCCACAGGATGACTTTTGGGAGTCAGTTTGTTTTGGAGGCAGGGTCTCTCTGGCCAACCTACTGTGGGCTAGTTGGCTGACAAGCTTCAAGGGAATTCTCCTTTCAGTGTCTCCCATCTCTCCATGGGAATACTGGGATACTATGTTCAGCTTTTCACATGGTCTCTGAGATTGACCTTAGGCCATCAGGCTTTCTCAGCAAGCTCCTTTACCTGCTGAACCATCTCCCTGGACCCCAGCCAGCAGCTTTTTGATGGTGAATTCCCTTCCAATGAGTAGGTCTCAAATCTACACAGGAAGCAGTTGGTTACCCTCAACAGACCTGCTGCTATTGTACTGGTGAGCACACCGCTTGGCCAGGCAATTTGTTGAACGCAGGGTCCACAGCTCAGGAAGATTTTGATGAAAATTCTTCCCTAATGGCCTGCTTAGCATCTTCCAGCTGTTTCATTAAATCGATTATATGCAACAAATATTCACTGACCTGGGATAGTCACGAACATAAAATTTAACAGGAAGGAATGAGGCAAGGAACAAAACACTGGAGGGTTGCCTGGATTTTATCAACCCAAGGAGCAACTTGGAGGAGTGCACGCACGTGCTCGCGTACACACACACACACACACACACACACACACACACACACACTCCATGTTGGCTTGGGAAGTAGCTGAGTCTGATCACAGAAAGAACTTTATAACTCCTTCCATGTAACAGCATCCCCTCTTAAGGACCATATCCAGCGGGATAACTCTCCCTTTATGGTTTACCTGTGGCAAGGAAAGGTTGGTTTGTGTATGTGTTTTGTTTTTTGTTTTTTCGCTGTCTTGGGAATTGTGTGTGTGTGCATTTTATTTGTATGTCCTATTTTGTCTTTTCCATGGCCCAATGGTAGTTAACAGACAACATCCAGGAGGATCTGGTTGGAGTTTTAGCTTGAGACACCTACCTTGAAGCTCAAGAGAGATCAAGGCAAGAGTGCCATCTGTGGTGTCGCTTAATTTAAATCATTTGCTTAGCTCTCCAAGAGATCTTTCATCCTATTGCTCCCCTGCAGCTCACTGGGAAGACGATAAAGTAAGAAGAGGGAGGAGAGAAGGACTAAGCAATAAAAGATCATAAAAGAGAGTTTTGCCTTTTATTTAATATTTGAATATTTTACAAGAATACAGTGTTGAGATACTTTAGAACATGGATGGTATTTTTCAGGATTTAAGCAACATCATTAAACCTCTGTTCAGCTGGCTTTGGAAATAGAAACAAAGACAACCCCAGACTCAGGCGCTCTTTTTTTGGGGGGGTATATATTTGTTTACAATTTTAATGTAAGGCCATTTATCAAAAGAGACAAACCACAAGATGAAATGAAGGCAACGGAAAAATTCAACTTCTCACAACCAAAACAATTATCACATCCTTAAAAAATAATTTAGAAAAGTGTTATACAAGATCTATTTGCATTCCATTAACCAAGATTGTGTCGATTCATAATCCTGAATAAATCTTTTTTAAAGTGTAAGACTGAAAAAATCATTTCTCAGTGTATATGTAATACGTTTTACCCCAGACTCAGCCACTCTTATGGCTCCCGTCTCCAGTTCTTTTAATTCTGGCCCAGAGAGCGGCCTTAGACACTCTTTTCCGGTCATAAGCCAGGCCCAGGGCAGCCATGCAGTCGATGAAGAACGTGGTGAAGTTGATGTGCCAGCGGTACTCACTGGCCGAGTAGTCATAGGGGAAGGCGTGGTGGTAGTTGTGGAAGCCCTCGCCTGGAAACAAGCAAGGAGAGCAGTTAGGGGGCTCCGTGATTGCTGCCGCCTCCGCCTCTTTGCACACCAGTGGGTAAGAGAACACTTTGTTGTTGACTCTGGGGTCTGGATTTATACATTGTTACTGGTACTGACTGCTGTCTAGATTTATACATTGTTACTGACTGGGGTCTGAATTTATACATTGTTACTTGCCACTGGCTGTGATTCCAGCTGCCTGGGGGCTGAACCAGGAGACAGAAAGTTCAAGTCTGACCAGGACGAGTTAGAAAGATCTATTTCCAAGATAAAAATAAAAAAAAAACAGCTGGGCAAATAGCTTATTGGTAGAAATTCAAGGCCAGTCTAAGCTACAGAGTGAGTGCAAGGTGAACTACACAGTGAACTCTTGACTCACAATGTACAAAAGTACAAATAAAGCTTGGGACATAGTTCAGTGAGGGAGCATTTGCACAGGGCTGCAAGTGTGGTCCCTAGTACTTCAGGAGCATTGGGAGAAAGGCAAAAGGGGAGAGAGGAAGGGGGAGAGAGAGTGAAGGGAGAGGAAAGGAGGAAGAAATTAAGGTTCGTATGGGAGGAAACGGGAAAGCAGAAGATGAAGTAAAGGGGGGGCTGAGAAGGGATGGAGAAGAAATGGCAACAGGGACAAAATACAAGGGGCTGGCTGTTACTCATAGCAGCCATGTCATAAAGAGGCCGAATCTGGGAAAGTTCATTTCAGTTTCATTTACAGAACACATCTCAGTCCACGGGATACCATTTCTATGGCAGTCTAAGAATTGTAGGGTATAGGGTAAGTAAATAAGATTTCCTTAAACATGGGTGAATGGAAGAACAGACACAGGGGTGGTGGTGTCTGAAGCTGGGATGGGGGTGGTGGCAGTTCATGAAACACACTAAGGGGGTGAGCCAATACTCTGAGAACGACACACTTTTAAATCCAAAGTCACGATCTTCCTTTTCTGTATATAGCATGGTTAGTCGTGACACACTAGGCTCATTGTATTCTTCATTGCCACTATTGTTATTGTTATGAGTCTTCTGACCCAAGCAGAAATAACCCAGCTCAGAGAAATAAATCAGAGATGACTGGAGAAGGGGAAACTTAGCCAGGATCATTTAGAGGTTTTTTTGGTTTGTTTTTTGACCTTCCAATCAAAGGCAGTATTTTTTATCCTTTCCCTTTTTACATAAAACCTGTTGCCTGACCGTCATGTTTTCCCCAATATCACATCCCCTAGTTTTACAGTGGAAAGTGTGAGACACAAAGTGCTTATAAAAACAGATGCCTGGCATCTTCCTCACAGCTCATCCGATAAGGAGATGGAATTTTAAAAAAGAAATAAAAAAGGAAAAGGAAAGAACATGACTGCTCCTAGGTATGGCCGTGCAGTGGAGGGCCATTGTAGATAGATGGGAGGGTACAGTCAGAGGCCGGGCATCTGGGAGAGTGCAGAGTGGACACGACCAGACTGAGCTGTGCCATGCGAGAAGGGGGAGAGAGGGAGACCAAAATGATTAGATTAGATTAGATTAGATTAGATTAGATTAGATTAGATTAGATAGGGAAGAGGAGCCCGGCACCCTGGGCTGCAGAGTTCAGGGTAGGAAATGGGACATGCCAGATGGGGGCAGGGTGGGGGCTGTAACAAGCAGGGACTGAGGGATGCAGGGAGAACTTGGTGGCCAGGTCAGCTGTGATATGTTAAAGAGGCACCTCAGCCATTTGTCCCAGGTTTGAAACCCAAAAGAGACCACTGAATGTGCTAATGCTAAAGATTGCTGACTTACCCAGAGATCCCATCGAAACCAGGGCGTTCTCCCTGGGATCAATGTTCTTGTCATAAGGGCGATTCCCATAGAGGTGGGCGGCGCTGTTCACCAGCCAGGTGGCATTGAGCACCATGGCATATCTCAGTAATGTGGCAACATACAGGCTGTGTAGGAAAGTTTCACCCCAGAAATACCAGGGCACCAGCGTGGGCAGGATGAAACACATCAGCAGGATGCCGGGCTTGTAGTACCTGTGTGGAGAGATGGCACACTGAGTATGGAGAGAGGGCTGACTCTTCTCAGTGGGGCGCAGTTATCTTTCCTCTTACACCACGAGTGCATGTGAGGGGTGGGATCCCATCAAGAAAGAAGGGTGTGGGAAATCTTTTCAGTACAGAGTATTGTTATCATTTTCAAGGTAAGTATGTTGAGCTGAGATTGTCCTGATCCCACCAGTTGCCAATGGAACAAGGTCTCCATTGCTCTTATTCATAGAGGGATGAGGCCAGTTACCCAACAAATCAGGGCCAAACCACATCCTGAGCCTGTGAGGATGCCTGGACTGGTTTCCATCTGCCCCTGAAGCCTGCTTTCTCTCCTGTCAGGGTCTTTGATGTTTCTCCATTTCCTGCTAACTTCCTCCCTCAAGGCCTTGACTCCAAAAGCTCCAGGAAGCATAATGGATGGATGTCCTTGATCATCTGCAGGTTCTGTCCCTCTAGAGGCCTTGCCCCAATCTCATTTCCACACAATTGGAACCACTGATTTCCTGAGAGAGTTGATTGGTGTCCTGTCAGCAGTACTGTCTTTAACTTTCCGGTCATGAGCATGCCCTGCATCCAGCTTTTCCATTCTTTCTCTGCTTCTCCAACCTGAGTCCTCTCTAGTCTAACTTATGTCCTTTCCTCACCTCTCAGGCTCAATATCTTCTTCCCCTGACCTTCCCTGACTTCACAAGACCTCTCCTGACCTCACCTGACTTCCCCTGACCTCCTCTGACCTCCCCTGCCCTCCTCTGACTTTCCCTGACCTCCCCTGACCTCACCTGACCTCCTCTGACCTCCCCTGCCCTCCTCTGACCTCCCCTGACCTCATCTTCAAAGCCCAGCTCTGACTGTGCCACTTGCTCTGGAAAAAGAAGCTCCTCCTTGCCAATTGTGTCAATCCCATCTGTGTCTAAGACACTCGGGACGACATCAGTCTGTTTGCCATCTTTTTCCCCTGTCATACCTTGTAGGTCAAGGAAACAGACTATGTTTCTGGATCGTGCATAAGGTTTTAGCTCATTTTTGTACTTTGTGTCTGTACCCAAAAGTGCAGGACACGGCCCTTCCATTGTTTCTGGTGCTACATTTTCTTCAGCCCTCTTGTTCTTCCTGAGCCATCTCTGGCCCTTTCTGCCTCTCACAGTACAGACAGTATTTTGCCTTGCTTCATGGTAACTTGGTAAGTATATTATTTCTCCAATTTATAGGCTAAAAACTTCAGAAATGTACAGTAGAATTCAGTACTGTACAGGCACAGTAGAATTCAGAAAGAAAGCAACAGAGTAACACCCCAGAACTGTGGACATCCAAGCAATTAAAAACTTGGGTTTGAAATGATGATCTATTTGTTTTGATTTTTGGTTTTTTTTTTGAAACAGAGTCTCATTATGCTGCTCTGGCTGTCCTGGAACTCACTCTGTAGACCATGCTATGCTGGCTTCAAACTCACAGGATCCAGCTGCCTCTGCCTCCCCTGTGCTTGGACTAAAGATGTGTGTGCCACCACATCTGGCCAATGGGCTTTTTTAAAAAAAGACTTTTAAAAATTATTTTTAATTTATGTGTATGTGTGTATGTCTGTGTGAGCATATGCCACATGTGTGTCTGTGAAGGACAGAATTGAGTGTCAGATTCTTTAGAGCTGGAGTTGTGGGAGTAAGCCCCCAACGTGGGTGCTGGAATCTGAACTAGAGTCCCCTGGAAGAACAGGAAGTACTCTTAACTGTTGAGCCACCTCTTCAGTCCCCAGAGTAGCTTTGTTTTTGAGACGGTCTTATTATGTAGCTCTGGGTGACCTGGAATTCACATAGATCCATCTGCCTCTGTCTCTCCAGTGCTGGGACCACAGGCCTGCATCCCATACTTGGCTGAAATCAGGGTTTTGAGCACACAAACCTAGAAATTCATTCATCTATTCTAAGTGCTAAGAGAAATGTGTTGCTCTTGAAACCCCACCTCCCAAGCTCCCTCTTCCTCACTCACCTCCTCTGGAACATGACCAGCTTCTCGGCTTTTAGGTCAGACATGTCCAGTTTTCCGCCCTTCTCTTTGACAGCCGGGTGTTTGCGCACAAGCAGCCAGCCCACGTGAGAGAAGAAAAAGCCACGGCGGGAATTGTGAGGGTCAGCATGCGTTTCTGTGAACTTGTGGTGGACACGGTGATCCCGGGCCCATTCATACACATCATTCTGGAGGGACAGGAAAGAGGACCCCAGGATTGAGAAGAGAATCCCTTCTGGGGGAATGGAAGGTGTCTAGGTGTCTGCCAGGGCCTGGAACTCTCAGTCAACTCACAGAGTCCCAGAACTCTGACTACTGGAGGTGGGGGGATGGAGTCTGGAGAGCACCCTTGCCGGCATGCTTGTCCCCAAAGCTTATGTAGAAAAGCAACTCAAAGGCCTAGAGTACAAAAATAGCACTGTTGCTTCCCAGGGTTGCATTGTGGGAAACAGGAAGTGAGTTTTAGGGTTCAGGGAGTTTCATTAGCAGAGAATATGGTGATTCTTCAAACAAGTAACAGGAGACAGGGTTCCTCCCAAGATGTCTGATCTAGGGGCAGAGATATTATCAAGCAGATGGCCTTGGGCTCCAAGGTTCTGCTCTGTGGTAAAGGTGCAAAAACTCCATGTCAATGCCTTCACAAGTGGCATGTCACACAACAAAACAGGACCAATGTAACCGATGAGCCTGAGCACCCTTCTGAAAGGCCTCGGAGTGTTCCTGAACTTATCCATTCCTTCAAGAATGTGTCAATGTTTCTCTTCCTTCTCTTTGTCCTCCAAAGACAGAAACTGGGAGCCTTCACCATGTAAATTGTCAGAGCAGAGGTGATTATACATGTGTGATAAGAACCTCAGATATCATCGAGGCAAAATAACTAGTCTGTTTTCTAGTGCTTTTTCCTCATCACCTAAGACAAGTCCCACACTATAAGCAGCAGCCTATGGCTAGGCGAGTCCCTCCCCTAATTTCCCACAGTCTATCCATACAAGTGTGCTGCAAGAACCATCATCAGCACTTGACCTATCCATCATGCTAGTCCTTGACACCACAGTAAGGTCAGCTTATTAATGGCGCAGCGACTCAGTTTCTTCATCTGTTCAGTGGGTAGAACATTAAGGCCTACCTCCTGGTGTGGTTGTGAGGACTAGAGGAGTTAACCTGTGTCAAATGCTGGCTCGGTGTCCAGCACATGGGACTAGAGACTTGTTTGCTCTTATCTGAAATGAGAGAGTTCTTGAGTGTGGGACACATTCACTTCCAATGCCAGTATAGTGGGGTCTTAAGACAGGCAGAGCAAAGCATGACTTTTTGTTGGCTGAGTGTTTAGGAAACCATAGTCAGTGTCTTGATGATGATGTCCTAAGGTCCTTTACACCAAAGGACCACAGCAGCCATACTATGTGATAACCCAGGGAACTTTGGGTGAAAAAAAATAGTTATGTTGGAGAACCTGTTCTACTTCCTGTTTCCCTTCCCAGTGACTCTGAGATGTCCCGTGTTGTAGGGAGCTCTGTACCAAGCATGCACTTGAGAGGACCACCAAAGACTACCTCTCTAGGTGCTAATGTGAGCCACTCTGCCCCTGAACGTCCATAGAGTAGAGACACAAGAATTAACAGCACCAGCTTCTCACCTGGAAAGCCATGGTGTTGGCAATGATGAGGAAGACCCTGAGGGGCAGCCGAGCCTTGTAAGTTCGGTGGCTCCACAGGCGATGAACTCCAGCTCCAATGCCTTCAATACTGATCACATAGTAGACAAATGCTGCTGGGACAACAGAGGGGTCAGCTAACTGGTAGGTGCAACCAGGAGAGGCGAAGCTGAACACTCCTGATACCAGAGTATGCTTCTCTGGGTTTGAAGGAGTTTGTGCGTTGGTCTCCGAGACATCATAGCATTTGCCACCTCAAAAAACTCATCATCACCTCAAACCACTCCACCTAGGACTGGAGGGGAAACCACTCCTCCTAGGAAAGGATGTGAGTCAAGAAGACCCAGACCCAGGCACAAAGTGGGCAGAAAGGCATGATGCTGGAAAGGAAGGCAGGGTATCAACACTGTCTAGCATTCATTGGCAGACCATGGGGACATTTTCCCAGGTTCTTTGCCCTTTGCCCCTCAGATCATTTCTCCAAGGGGTTCAAGGTCATCAACTACTCCTCCTGACCTAAACACCCATAATCAAGAATGTTTGGAAAATGGGAGTCAGAGCCCAACAGAAGGATCTCTCAATTAAAGGGGACACTCATGGGACACAGAGCCTGTTCCCCTGTTGTTGACAGCATTTCAGCACTCTATCAGGTCTCAGGGCAAGTCAGTCCTGCACAGAGTCACAAGTACATGGAGGCTCAGGCTTTACTGATTGCTAATGTTATCATAGTCACCGCACATCCTAATGGTTGGAGTCTAGTAATAGCACAAGTGAGGTGACACCACGATAAAGTAGCTGTGCCCTCAAGAGCAGAGCTGGAAGAGCTCTGTACTTGGGTACTTGTCATCAGAGATGCCTCTTCAGGTAAATATGTAGATGAAGTTAAAAGCTAAGTGTTTTTCCAGGGTCACAGGACATGTAAAAGAGGATCCATAGCTTGAAACTACATTTTCTACCAATAATTTGTTTAGTTCTAGCTATACCATACATCTTTTAGTAACACAGCACTCTTAGAACCTACAAGATCAGGAGGTACCATGAATGCTCTCTACTGGGGAGAGGACACTGGGTGTACCTGTCTGTTCTTCTGATTGTAGCACTAGGACACAGGGCTGAGGCCTTGGTAGAAGCAGTGTAAGATACCCACGGGGACATGTGGAAACCTTGGAACCTCAGAAGCTACAGAACTTAGCCAAGACTGGGGACACCAAACACTGTACAAATTTTCAAGTGTCCTTCTGCATCAAGAGGTAACCATTTTCTAAGTGGTCTCTTTCTTCCTCTCCTGACTCCTGGGTCCCATCCTGTCCCTTCCATAGGGTCCCCAGGACAAGCATGGAGATAGCATCTATTCTCAGGAAAGTGCTGGCCATATTCTTCTGAACTGGGCTGAGGCCTCAGATGACCCCTAGCCTCTGGCTATGTGGTGATTGAGAGACTCCCATAAAGAGGATTTGCCGCACTTGTAGCAGAGACCAGGGGAGGGCAAAACCTGGAACCCCAGGAAAAAAGGGAAAGCTTTGTGCAGAGCAGGAGGACTGAGAAAATGTTCCAATTTGCCTCATGCTGCAGATTGCCCAGGTGTGTTGGCTCCACAGACAATGCTATCTTCACAGGGGACTGGAATGGGAACCCTTGTACATTGAGTCATGTTCTTATTCTGCCAATAGCTTAGCTCACACAGATCCTTTCCCTGTCCCCAGGAGGGATTGAGAGTGTCCATGCTGGAGGGGAAACTGCTTTCCCCACAGGGGAGGGTTGGGCAGGTTTTGTACTTTGGCTCTCAGTATCCTCAGAGAGGTCTTACTCCAGAGGGCTCTATTAAATGATTCTAAAATGAAAGAAAAGCTTTTCAAAATCCTTGAGTAGGGAAAATGGAGCAAACACAGTCATTTGCTAATTATGCGTTTTCCTTTGGGATAAAACTATAAAAGCCTCTAAAACCCAAAGGAAATAGAAGATTCCAACAGAGAATTCAATCCTTCCTGTTCCTGAAGAGTTTTGCTAAACCACATTTCCCAATCACCATTCTGTGTGTTAATCTACCGACCAGAGCCCAGGACAAGAGTAAAGAATTTAACATGCAGGTTCTGTGTACCCGATTTCCTTTCCAAAATCACAGCACACACCAAAGGGCAGGATACCAAAAGCATTGACCATAGTCTTGGTTTTGGATGGTATCAATTTTCCTGAAATAGCAACTGATGTCAGCCAAGAACCGGCAGTTTGGTCAAACACAGTACTGAAACGAATGAGGCTTGTGAGGAGTAGTCAGGCCAGAGAGGAAGGGAGCTTGCAGGGAATCAAACTACTTTGAAGACTCCCTCACGCCCAGTCTTCCTGGTTCTGGTAATGTGTCATTGCCTCAGTAGGTGACTAGAAAAACAGAGGTCCCAAGAAGGGATTTCCTAAGTTGTATTTTCTTGGGACATTGAGTGGATTTCCCAAGACAATGTTTAAGGGTCCAAGTCTCACCACCTACAAGATGGAAGAGGGCCAGGACAGACAGGATAACACTAACCCTTCTACAATAGTATATTCAGAGAGAGAGAGAGAGAGAGAGAGAGAGAGAGTTGTCAGAGTCCCAACACCTGATTCTGTTCCCTCAAACTTCCCAGGAGTATCTGGGAAAGAATGGCTGGCTCACCAGCCCTCAGAGAAAGCAAGGGGTCCCTGGTCAGCAGAGCTCCCGGAGTGAGAAGTCTTCTTCACGGCTCTATTCTCTGGTATGCCTGTCCCTGCCCAGGAAGGACAGGTAGAGGATAAAGACAATGGGTGTTAGAAGATGTTATCGCCATGACATGATACGGCTTCAGGAGAAAGGGGCAGCTGCAGGCTGGGTGGAGAAGAGAGCATGAAACATTTCTATGATGCAAATATTCAAAGAACATCTTGTTCACTGGCACGTGCTACACCCAGAAGACCTAACTGGAGTAGCAGAGCTGCTCACATGTACACTTGGCTGGGTGTTATGGGAGCCTGCTTCACACTCCTCCAAGGCAACAATCCTGGTCCAGCCAGGGTCTTAGGTCTGAATGGCTGTGTGGATAAGCAGCCCTCCTTTGTGCTCTCCTTCTCAATGGCTTCTCTTCCCAAGTAGCATCTCCTGACTCATCTCCTGACTGAGCTCAACATTTAGCCCACAGAGTTGGTAAGGTACCTTTTCCCCAGGCCCCCTAGGCAGGGCCTGGTTCTCCTGTGGCAGGAAGGGCTAGGACAGGCAGCCAAGTAAGTGGTTCACACAGAAAAGTTTGTTGGGGCTGGTTGCCTCATTGCCACAGTGCTACTCCCTCAGTGAGTCCTGAGCATGGCTTCAGAGCTTGGTCCCCAACGCTCATGTTAAAGCTCCCCCAGGGGTTAACGATATGACACGGTGGTAGAGTACCTGTCTAGTATGCCTGAAGGCCTGTGCTAAACAAAGAACAAGATATCCCAGATATGGTAGCTCAGGATGTAATCCCAGTAGGCCAAGGCAGGAAGATTACCATGGGTTCAAGGCCAGCCTGGACTTCATAGAGAGTTCCAGACAGCCTAGGTAGCAGAGTGAGGTTCTGAAAACAATCAAACAAGCCAAACAGTTGTGGTGATGGACACTGTAATGCCTGTGCTTGGGAAGTGGACCCAGAAAATCAGAGGCTTAAGGTAGTTCTCTGCAATGAAGCAAGTTCCCACCCAGCCTGGGCTACATGAGAACCTGTCGAGAGAGAGAGAGAGAGAGAGAGAGAGAGAGAGAGAGAGAGAGAGAGAGAGCGCGACCCACAGAGAAAGGTTTGGGAAAGCTGGACACAAAGGGGCCACTGCCCATCGAAAGACCCCATCATTAGAGGGAGGGGAGAAACTTGAGACACTGGCCGAGAACAAAGAAAGTTGCTTACCCCAGAGCAAGGTGTAGACCTTGCTGGAGGGAACCAGCACAAGCCCATACAGGGCCCCCAAGTGCAGCAGGGCCATGAGGATGATGTTTCTCCAGACGTACTCCAGCTTGGGCGGGGCCCCCTCCTCATCCTGGTAGCTGGGGTCGTATATATCTTCTTTCATTTCAGGGCGGATGTCTTCTTCCAGGTAGAGGGGCACCGTCTTCTGCTTCTCCCGTCCATTCTGCAGGCTTCCGGAGGGAGGCGCTGTGATGGTGGTGGTGGTCGTGTATGAAGAGGCCATCTTCAAGGATAGGGAGTGAGAATTAGCAGAGTGCTCTAGTAGGCACTTCCCTTTGGCATGCAGCAGGCAGAAGGGTGCATTACAGGTCCAGCCCCCGTCCCAGGGCCTGGCTTGACTAAGGGCTGGTGGAAGAAGAGGTCTGCAGACTGGTTGTTGTCAAACCCCAGGTGAAGGGGCAGTAGGAGAGAAGAATGAACCTCTTACATCGCCGGCAAGCCAAAGAAAGCCCCACATGTACACATGAAGGCACCCTCAGGGCCCAACTGGGAAATCCAGTGTCAAAATGCAATCCACATCTCTACCAGTTGATGGCAGTACAACTTAGATAAGACAATGATGGGTTCAGGGACCTCTCAGAGACTAGATCCATCTGGACAGAAGGTTGTGACTGAACTTTGATTTCGTCGTCTTTGCTCTGGTTCTCTGTAAAACTCTGTCTAGAGGAAATCCCGGGTAGCAGCTTTTGCTCTGACTTTCAAGTGTGGACCCTTTGAATATGACGCTATTTAAAGATTTAATTCCTGGCCTTTATTTACGTGAAGGGCCGTATGGACCATTTACATGTAATCTGATGGCCAAAAGGAAGGACACAAGTGACTCTTTAGACTATCTCCTCTCTTGCCAGGGCAGTTAAATTTTCCCTCTTTAGTTTTAGATAGTTGAATTAGGGTGATATACTGGATTTGCTGTAAAAAGTTTCGGAGATACAGCCAGGTGTTGGTGTTGGTGGCGCACGCCTTTAATTCCAGCACTCGGGAGGCAGAGGCAGGCAGATCTCTATGATTTCGAGGCCAGTGTGGTCTACAAAGTGAGTTCCAGGACAGAGCTACACAGTGAAACCCTGCCTCGAAAAACAAAACAAACAAACAAAAAAAAATCTGAACTATGCCAGTTTCTGAAACAAACATAAACAGAATAGAAGTGGGAGCCAAGGTCGGCAAGCATTAAATTAGTGTCTGATAACCATGCATAAGAATCATTTCCCCACACGCAACCTCTTGGTCTTAGTTACTTTCTGTAGGGTTGGCATGAGTGACTATTTTCGTTGCTGGCTTTGAAATAGGGTGTTAAGCTTTTCAGAGAATCAGCTCTTATCTCGCTCATTCTTTGTGTTTTGTTTTGGGTTTTTTCCATTTCTATTTCCTTAATTTCAGCTCTGATTTTGATTATCTCTTCCCATCCTCATTTTTTTTTTTTACATTTGTTTTTGTTTTACTGAGGCCTTCAGGTGTATCATTAAGTCGTTAATTTGTGAGTTCTTGAATTTTTCGATCTAGGAACACAGGATATGAACTTTCCTCTTAGGTTTGCTTTCCTTGTGTCCCATACACTTTCTTAGGTTGTGTTTTCATTTTCATTCAGTTCTAGGAATTTTAAATTTTCCTTCTTGTTTTTTTTTAAAGATTTTATTTATTTATTTATTTATTTATTTATTTATTATGTATACAACATTCTGCTTCCATGTATATCTGCACACCAGAAGAGGGCACCAGATCTCATAATGGATGGTTTTGAGCCACCATGTGGTTGCTGGGAATTGAACTCAGACCTCTGGGAAAGCAGTCAGCACTCTTAACCTCTGAGCCATCTCTCCAGCCCCCTTCTTGGTTTTTATACTTGGCCTAATTATCATTCAACAGGGTTTTGCTCAGTCTCCATGCGTTGTGCACTCTCTGCAGTTTCTGCTGCTGTTCACACCCAGCTTATTTCATTGCGGTCAGATGGAATGCAGGGTATGATTTCAATTTTCCCCCATTTGGTGAGGCCTCTTTTGTGTCCTAATATGTAGTTGATTTTGGTGAAATTTCCATGGTCTGCTGAGAAGCTCAATCGCGTACCTGGTATATACTGTATATGTGTTAGGTCTATTTGAGTTATGGTTTCATTTAATTCCAGGGTTTCTGTTTATTTCTGTTTTTCTGGATGACCTGTCTATTGGTGAGAGTGGGGCCTGAAGTTACTTACTATCACTATGTTGTAGTTACCCAGTAGTTTTAGATCTGATGGTATTTCTTTTATGTCACTGGGTGATCCTGTGTGTGGTGTGTGTATGTTTAGGATTGTAATGACTATGAAGTCCCCTCCCGTCTCTACTGACTAGTTTTGTTTTGAAATGTATTTGGTCAGATATCAATAGCCATGCCTCCTTGTCTCTTAGTTCAATTTGCTTGGAATACCTTTTTCCATCCTTTTACCCTAAGTGGTAACTATCATTGATGGTATGATGTGTTTCTTGGAGGCAGCAAAAAGATAGATCCTGGTTTTTATTCCAGTGTGTTAGTTCTGTGTCTCTTAGAGAATTGAGAACCATTAATATTAAGAACTATGATGGAACAGTGTATATTATTTCCTGTCATTTTGTTGCTTTTATAGTAATTTGTTGGAATCTCTTAAAAATTCTCTTTACTTTTTGAGGTTATGATATAAGTATATCATTTTCCCAACCTTTTACATTTCCTTCCTTGTTCTCTTTCAAATTATTGGCCTCCTTTTCATTAATTATTGTTATATGCATATATGAAATCGGTGTGTCATTCCCCCCAGGGAATTTTTCCTCAGTCCTCATCATTATTTAGTTGCCTGTAGTCTTTGGGTAGGATTGTGGTCTCATGGCCTTTCCCCATCCATGTTAGTTACCTATGTTGTTGTCTTTGTTTAGCTCATGTTTAAGTAGTCATGTTGGTGAGACTTTATGGAGTTATTGTAACTTATTATAAGGTGCAGTCTCACAGTCACCCTGATCCTCTGCCTCTTAAGTATTTCTGGCCCCCTTTATGCAATGATCCCTAAGCCTTGGGTGTGGGAATTGTATGGTAGATGTACTTTTTGGGACTAGTCTGAGTAACTCTGTGTTTTATTTGGTTATGGTTTTCTGTAATGGTCTGTATTGCAAAGAGGCATTTTCTTGATGAGGCAGTGAGGACTACACTTATGTCTGGGTATAAGAACAAATATTTAGAATGTAGTTAGGGACTATGCTCATTTAGTAAAGTGTCAGTTGTAGGTTCTTCTCTAAGATCTATGACTTTATTAGCCCTGGGTAGTTGGCTGGGTTTCTAGTACCAGACATGATTTCCCTCTTATTGAGTGGGTCTTAAGTTCTATTAGAGAGCCATTGTTTACCACCAAGGTGTGTGCCACTATTGAACCTTAGGGATTTCATGTTATACTGGTCATTGTTGTGGTTCATAGGTGTCATAGTTGGATAGGAAGGACTCTTGGTTATTTCCCTTCTTTGTAGCTCCTGTGGCATCATTGGGTACCATGGAAGCTGGTCCTTAGGGAGGAGGCTCTTAGGTCAGTTCCAGCCCTGTGTCTGAAGTGTATGCTGTCTTTAGCAATAGAGACTTACCTTCCTCACTTGGGAAGCAACCATGGGCAATCACAATAGCCTATAATATTTTAGGAGTCTCTGGAACAACTGTGACCAACAACTCAAAGGGAGACTTTTAGAATCCTTTTGATTAAATATTCTTGGGTTGTTTAACAACAGCAATCATTATTCTTCTCATACACAAATGACAAACATCATAGGAAATAAATCAGAGAAACAACACCATCCATGATAGCCTCACAAAAGGAAGTGAAAGACTTGTACAGTGAACATTTTAAAACCTTGAAAAAAAGAAATTAGAAAAGGATTTTACAAAAAAAAGAAAAAGAAAAAAGAAATTAGAGAAGATACCAGAAGATGTAAAGACTTCCCATGCTCATGGATTGGCAGGATTAATACTGTGAAAATGGTCATTCTGCTGAGAGCAATCTATAAATTCAGTGCAATCCACACCAAAATCCCCAAGCAAGTCTTCAGAGAAATTTAAAAAATGATTTTAAATTTCATATGAAAGCATAAAACCACCAGGACAGAAAGGAGGAGGGGGAGAAGAAGAAGAAGAAGAAGAAGAAGAAGAAGAAGAAGAAGAAGAAGAAGAAGAAGAAGAAGAAGAAACCTGCTGGAGGTATCACCATTCCAGATTTCAAGGTATACTACAGAGCTATAGTAATAAAAAGAGCATGGCATTGGCATACAAATAGATACACTGATTAATGGAATAAATTTGAGTATCTATATATAAGACAATGCCCCTAAAGCCATTAATTTTTTCAGGGAAAGGGCCTTTGAGACAGTGTTTCTCTGCATAGCCTTGGCTATCCTGGAACTTGCTCTGTAGATTGGGCTGGCCTTGAACTCAGAGTGTTGGGATTAAAGCCCTTCTTATGGCCTTCATCAGCACTTGGAATACACATTCACATAACCCGCTTACAGGCATATAAACATACATAAAGAAATAAATCTTTTTCTTTTAAATTTCTGTGGTGGCTTGAAAGAAAATGGCCTCCAATGGGAGTAGCACTATTAGGAGGTGTGGTCTGTTGGAGGAAGTGTGTCCCTGTGTGGGTGGGCTTTGAGGGCCCTTATGCTCAAGCTATGTCTAGTGTGTCTCAGTTTACTTCCTGTTGCCTGAAGATTAAGATGTAGAACTCTCAGCTCCTTCTTCAGCACCATGCCTGCTTGCAGGCTGCCAGACTTCCCACCATGTGATAATGGACTAAACCTCTGAAACCGTAAGCCAGCCCCAACTAAATGCTTTCATTTATAAGAGTTGCATGGTCATGGTTGAAGTCTAGGCAGTGTACATTCTACAGAGGAGGACTGTTGCAGAGCTAAATGTTCTCAGAATTCCCAAGGCAAGCCACACAGACAGCAAGACTTTGATGTATCCCAACAGATGACCCAATGGACAGAAGAAAAACTAAAGGAGCCATGAGGTTCCTTCCAAGTTCTGAGGGAGCCTCAACTTGCCTTAACAATGTAAAGAAAAAGGGATGGGTGTGTACTTATAGGCCCTACCTTTCTATGAGGATTTGTCAGCGGTTGCTGTAGGCAGGGCACTTTTTTGTTTTTGTTTTTGTTGTTGTTTTTGCCTCTTTTGAAACAGAGTTTCTCTGTGTTGTCCTGGCTGTCCTGGAACTAACTGCATAGTCTAGACTGGCCTTGAACTCACAGAGATCCACCTGCCTCTGCCTCCTGAGTACTGGGATTAAAGGTGTGCCACCACTGCCCAGCATGGGTGGGGCACTTTTAAAGCCATGCCCCTCCCAGAGGAGCTTTTGGCAGTTACTGGTTATTGGGCAGCATTTTCTTCACTGGTGTAGTTCAGTGGTACTGTAATTAACCCTTACTCATGCTCATATAAGCAGCCCTG